GTACACCAAATTCCCCAGGTTCCGTGCAGACAGGATCTCTGTCTCTACTGACTCTCCTAGTAGTTTTCCCTGCCAACTTAAATGCTCCTAGGGGCCATGCGATCTCCTGCAGCTAGGATCCCAGCCATCCATGGTAAGAGTTGGCCACTCTGCAGTTCCCTCACTCACCCCTTCCTTGGGAGCTTTCAGGGGCAGGAATGAGACCCAGCACTTGGCAACCTTGTGCAGGGTTCCCAGCTTCCTCCCCCTTCAGCCCCAGTATCTGCATCATTGCTCCATCCACTTTCAGTGCATTCTCTCATAAGATCTGTTTGGAATATGCCATGCTACTCTGGCCTCTCTTAGTCGGAGAAGCTCTTCCTGGCTGGATTTAGTCAACCACCTTGTCCTTCTCCATTTTTATCCCCATAATATCCTATTTTCTATCTCTCTTTCTTCTGAAGTTTTCTGATGACTGTAAAAGGAATAAAAAGAAAAAGATAATTGGATGGAAACTTAATTTTTTCAACCCCTCCAAAAAAGAGAGGGAAATGCTAACTTTGTAACTTACAGTTTTTCCTCCGATCAGGGAGATCAGGGTTATTACCTTAGGGGAGAGACAAGTGAAGAAGACAAATTCTTGACTTTTAATTTCCAATAGTTTAATAGTTTCTTGATGTCTATGGCAGAGCCAGAGACTTAAATTGGATAAGTTCAGGTTTTTGAAAGAGAAAATGTATTTTGATTTCCCAAAGCTTAAGAGACTGAAGGATTCAGAGCACAATGTTTATACAATAGACATTAGAATGGGAAGACAGTGTGAAGTGACAGCTAATTCTTCCCCTCAACGGGCCTGGAGGTAGATGCTGATATGGATCTGAGGGAAGTGCCCCACCCTCAGCCTCCACCATGGACCAGCAGCAATAATCATATCCAACCCATGTAGTACTTACTATATGCCAACCAGTATTCCAAGTGGACATATTTTAATCCACGTACTCTTCTCAAAAACCTTATAATGTAGATCCCATTTTGTAGATGAGAAAGCTGAGGCACAAAGGAGTCAAGAGACAGGCCCAAAGTCTCATAGCTAGTAAGTGGCAGAGCCAGTGTTTGCACTCAGGAAGTTTGACTCTAGAGTCCTTGTTTAGCAGTGACCAATCCCTGGGTGAGGTTGAAAGAAGGCTCAGATTGACCTGGAGGGTTCCAAGAGCAGGGAAAGAATTGTGCTTGCTTTGTAGGTAAGGCCTGAGGGCGCAGCGAACCTCATGGGCACACTGAAGCAGTAGCGGAGCAGAGAGGACAATGAGGCAAATCTAGGTGAGAAGGGCTCTGGCAATTCTGAGCCTCCTGCAGCTTAGAGAAGAGCCCACAAGAATTTTCAGTGTCCCTAGTGGGTTGTGGACGTGGCTGAGAGAGGTTGTGACAAGGGTTTCCAGTCAGGAGCAGCATGGAAAAGCCAGAGGACACGGTGGACCCAAGCACACCGGCAGAGGTTGCTATGGAGATAGAGACTATTGACCAAAGACCAGCAGGTGAAAGTGCTGTCATCAGATGCCAGTGGAAAAGCTGCCTCACTTCTCAGCACCATGATGCATGCAGTTCCCACAGAACTGCACTGACATCCCAAAACAAAGAAAGGGAAAGCATGAAACCCTGAATTTGTCTAATTTTATCCTTGAAGTGACTGAAGAACCACTAATTTGAATTAATTTAAATTGGGGGTGTTTAACTTTCCTGTTACAGAGAAGACTCAGAGCTTGAGATAGAAGTTAAGCTTGATTACAGAAAAAAGTAAAGGTTCTATTTTTGCACTTCTGGTTATTGGCTTGTGAAAACTGTATTCAGTACATAATTCTACTTAAACCATATAAATTCAGCATGAGAAGCCACCATATGAGCTTTCTGTTTTCAAATATAAAAGTGCTTGGTAGCTGGCCTGAGGAGATGAGATGGACTCTCAATCCTTTGTTTCATGGTTCTAGTGCAGACACAACTCCTTGAAAAACAATTTCCACTCAATTACATTCACGTTGCCTAGGTTGGAAGCAGTAAAGGGAAATGAAGGACATTTCAGTGCCAATGTTACATTGGTTACTGATACCAAATTATCTCTGGATTAGGAACATCATGGTCCATATTGTGGCAGTAAAAGAACTTCATACCCTAGCTATGGATGAGGCTAATGGGTGGGTTTATAGACCTTGTATTCCCCAGAGTGCCTTATAAATCTATGAGTTTTTCCCAAGTGCTCCATTTTACATTTGGATCCTTGAAAGAGCTGGAAAATCAGATGAATAAACACGCACACATGCTAAGAGCTACCTGGTTAATTATGCATGGCAGGAACTATACTTGTTCCATTTCTTTTTTCTGTTTATTTCATAAAGTTTTTAAAACATTTTTGTCAGAGAAACACTTTCTGATGCAAAAGGGGCTTCTATTTTTTGAATAGA